TTGGTTGTCACCCCAATACCTAGTAGTTATTCCTGGAATAGATAAGTTCTCAATACATATTTCTTGAAGGAACCATTATTTCCAAAAAATTAAGTTTCTTATAAGTAGAATTTTTGGCAAATGGTATGCACATTTAAAAAACTTTTGATATTTACTTTCAAATTATCCAGAATAAAGATTATATCAATTTAAACTCCTGCTAGTAATGAATGTAGGACCATCCATTTAATAATATGCTTCCTTTTTGGGAGGTAGGGTATTATCTTTAAAAAAATATTTGCTAAAAAATTCTGCTAATTTTACATTGGTATTATTTTAATTTTAATATTATAAGTAAATTGTATCTTTTATATATGCTTATTGGTCACTTATTTCCTTCTATACATTTTCTACTTATGTCCTTTGTTAATATTTCATTGTTATATTTATTTTGATTTCTAAGATCTTTTAGTATTTTAAGTATAGTTCTTTGTGATATTTTCACATACTTATTTTTCATGTCTTTTATTGTATTTTAATTTTGTTTCTTTTTAATTCACAGATTTAGAATTTTATGTCTTCTACTAGAGGCCCAGTGCACGAAATAAGTGCATGGGTGTGGTCCCTAGGCCTGGCCAGTGATTGAGTGCCTGGCATGGAAGGACAGGTCCCAGCTGACCTCTGGGCCCTGGGCAGCACCTGGGCCACTGGAATCCCTACGTTCCCCCCTCTGCCTGAGTCATGGCACCAGAGTCCCCTTGCAGAGATGCGGTAAGTGTGGCTGGATGCTGGATGCCGTGGGCCAGGGCACAGCATGGGCCTCTGGGCCAACCATTGGCGCTGCACAGAAGCTGGGCAGGCAGTGCGCTCTTTCCTGGCTGGCCTCGCAGATCAGCTCATGCATGAACCCACAGGAAGCCTGACTGGCCCCTGTGGTCCTCGCTGCTACAGCCCGGCTCATCTGGAAGAGGCCGTGAGAGCCCTGGTGTCCTGGGGGAGGGTAGCAGGGGGAGTTAGAGCAAGCTTGGCAGACACCCCGTATTCTCATCATACCTCCATTCCTGTCACCCCTGCCCCCATGTAGCTGGCAAGAGGTCACAGCCCCTGCTTGGGCACTGCAGGAGGTTGGTCACTGCCACCCACCCCCAGTTCCCAGTCCCAGCCTGGGGTCTGGCCCCAGTTGGGCAATCAGGGCCTGTGGATGCTGGTTCCTATCTGCAGGGTGATCAGTCGGGGCCAGGATCCCTGCACCCTGCCACCGCCACTGATCACCATACGCAGGGTGATCGGCAGGGCGATCAGCCCCCTGCTCACACTCGCCTTGGCCTGGCGCCGCCTACTCACCTGCTCCAACATCCTGCCACGGTCCTGCTGTTGTCAGGGTCCATTGGGTACTGTAGCGTCTCCACTGCTGCCCACTGCCAGTGCCACATCGCCAATGCCCGCCATGTTTGTGCTGCCCCCTGGTGGTCAGCGCACATCATAGCGAGCAGTCAAACTCCCAGTAGAACTGCCAGTTGAGGGGACAATTTGCATATTGGGCTTTTATTATAAAGGATCTTCACCCTTACACCGAAATTGCTCTTACTAAAATGACCAATGACTTAGTAGTTGTTACATTCAATGGGAATTTTTCAGACTTCATCTTCTTTGATCTACTTAATTAAGAACAAAGCCATATAAGTCACAGTTTAGATATTTGGTTTATATTGATTTGAAACATCTCTGCTATCTATAAAATAATAGTTTTTAAAGTCATTAAAATTATAAATAAAATTACGTGCCACTCAACAAATTTGTTTTGGGTAAAATTAAATGTAAATCATTTGGCAGAGGCCTTTTAGTAAATCCTTTTGGTTTTATGATTATAGAATAAGCCAAATATTGTGTGAAACTAAATGCCAGACCTGAGTTAGAGATAAAGAAATTAGCCCTGGAGATTGATAAAGAGTCAGAAGTACAGCATGATAGGTAGGATTAAAATATATGAGGCTCTGAAAAGAAGTTGTATTAGTTTCTTAGGTTTTCCATAAGAAAATAGCACAAACTGGGTTAAAACAACAGTCATTCTCTCACAGCTGTAGAGACCCAGATGAAGGTGTTGGCAGGGCCATAATCCCTCTGAAGCCTCTAGGGGAGGCTCTTTCATTGCTTCCTCAGGCTTCCATTATCTCTGGGTGTTCATTGTTTTATTGAAGCATAACTCTAATCTCTGTCCTCATCTTCATATGGCCATCTTACCTCTGTGTCTTTTTGTAGTAAAATTTTCTTCTTTTTATAATGGTACCATCTTAACTTGATTACATCCAGAAAGACTCTTTCCAAATAAAGTCACATTAGCAGGAGATTAGGACTTATCTTTTTGGACTACACAATTCAAGATGTGAACCAAATGAAGTAGAGAGAGCTGAATTATGAGAGGTTGCCAGAACAAGGGGTAAAACACCAAACCCTAAATTGACAGCATAGATTAATGATTAGTTGGTTAGGTAGATCATCAAGGCAAAAGGAGCATTTGTGAATGTTAAAAGATATGATGAGAAACTGCTACATGAAATCCTTCATAATTCTATTTGAAATCTCAAGTAAATTTTAACAGATTATTTAGGTGTGCTAATTTGCTTTTATGAATAAGCTAGTGCAAAAGGCAGCTTACTATGATAGCTTTGTGTATAATTAAGAAAGATCAAGCTTTTCATTATTTCCTGGATGAAAAAAATATATAAATATTAAAGAATAGGAAATTGCTAATTTAATTTAACTAAATTAGAAATTCAGTTTATGTCTCTGGAAAATTTGACAAAATTTTATTTAAGTTGTGGCAGCAAAATTAGTCTGATACATGCAGTTATATTAACTCAATTATTATAATCCCTTTTTGACACTTATTTCTTGTTATAAATGGGCCCAAAATAGACACTGAAGATACTAAATAAAATGTCAGAAACTTGAGTATAAAATACACATGCAATAGTTTACAGATGCAATTGCAAGGAACACTAGACACAAAGAGGATGATAAATAACCTAGTTTTCAAACTGTATCAGATATTATTAAAACCTATGTCAATTCAATTGTAAATGACTATTTGAAAGATATAACACAATGAAGTAGAATAGACAAAAATGAGAGCAGAAGTAGTTGAGATAAAAGACAAGCAGTCAGGGAGAGGGCAATGGGGGGATAAGGACACATATGTAATACCTTAATCAATAAAGAAAGGGAAAAAAAGACAAGCAGTCAGAATTTTTTGAAATAATGGTTCCTTCAATTTAATAATTTTCCTCCAATGATGACACTGAACAAATATTCACTGATCACTTCCAAGAGACAGAGAGTGTTTTAGGGGCTGGGTCAAAAAATGTGGAAAGTCCTCATTTATTTGGCTAAGATAACCTAGCTATAGTTATGACTAATGTGTATCAAATAAAGGGAATTATTCAATGATACTTTTATATTTCCTAGAGGCAATACAGCATTAACATTTTTAAATCCTCAGGTTAGGATATGTTTATTGATTTTTTTTTCTTGAAGAGAGAGAGAGAGAGAGAGAGAGAGAGAGAGAGAGAGAGACCATTGATGTAAGAGAAAAACATTGATCGGTTGCCACCCAAATGCCCCTGACCGGGTATCAAATCCATACCTAGGTATGTGCCTTCACCAGAAATCAAACCTTCCATCTTTTTGGTGTACAGCACAATGCTCCAACCAACTGAGCCACCATTTAAAAAAATATATTTTCAGGTTAATAAAGTCATAATGATTGTTTAAATGTTTATTACCTTTTCTCTTTTGATTATACTATATTTTTAAAGTCTATTTCCTCCTCTTGAACTTTCTTTAGACTAAAGAAATATATTTTTGTACATCTTTTGACCAATGTTCATCTTTCTAGTAAAATTTTTGTCACATATAAGTTAAAGTTTTATTTATATTCCAAATAGAATATAGTGCCATTTTCAGTTTGCTCAATGGGGTTTCTGTTTTTCAAAGCTTCAATTTAAATTTTTAATTTTCATTGGGGAATTCATTTCTATGTGGTTATTAAGCAGAATATATAGTGATTACATTAAAATACATTATTTTTTCACTTGATTTATCTTTAGACTCAACATTATTTATTTGGCAAACTTTGAATGAAACTATTTTCTGAAATAGTTGAAAACAAAAATATCTAGCATGGCATACTATATATATATATATATATACACACACACACACATATATATATATATATATCACAATGGAGTAGAAGAATATATATCTATCTATCTATATCTATATCTATATCTATACCTATATCTATCTATATAGATAGATATAGATATAGATAGATAGATAGATATTCTTGTGTTGCTGAATGTTAAAGACATAAGAAAGGCATTTACAAGGATATGGTCCTCAGAACTCAAATTTTTCAAACAATATTAACTTTCAAATCACAAAATCATACATTGATTGAATATTGTCAAATATCTGTTAGTTGTTTTCTCCAACAATTGAAAATAGGCTGCAGCATTGTGAACTCTGCAATTTAACTGTCTTTGATAGTAGGATGAAAAGAACAGAATTGAAAGTTCAAAAGCATCAATTTTAGTTATTAGACAGCAGCATTACTGGAGCTTACTTATGTTCCCATGATAGACAGATTCTTTTTCAACTTGATGTTTCAAAAGTAGATCTCTCACTTGCAGCCATTTCCCATGAGTGTTTACCAAGTTAAAAAGTGCTGGGAGTACCATAGATGGAACATTGTAGTGAGAATTGCCTATGATGTCATAGACACTTGAGGAAAACTTCTAGAAGTGAAATTTAGTCACAGTAGAGACTAAATAAGAAAGATGCTTACTGAGTAAGGTGGGGTCCAAAAAGTATAATGCAGAATTCAGTAATTTATAAATTACTTTTTTTTTCTGAAAGAGCTCAACCAAATAATACTTAATGAAGGAAAGTAAAGGCTTAACCATTTGGTACATTGTGATTCCTGCTGTTAGTAAATTTCAAATTCAGCAGTTTTAAATATGGAAGGAAGTGATGAACCTGATCAGCCTATCTCAGCAGGGAGGCAAGAAATTCGAAAGAAAAGAAGACCTACCCAACCAATGGTAGACAAATCCCAACAGACTGACATATCAGAGATAAAGTATCTCTTGCCTATACCACAATCATGTGGCCCCAAAGCTAACCTTAATATTAGTAATATTCCTGAAAGCAAAGTCAACTATGAGTCTCTTAGGTTATCTTCTCAGCTTCAGAAAACTTGGACAAAGAGAAAGCGTGTGCAAGATAAGGTTGATGAATGTTTGCAGACAGACATTATTACTGAAGAGATAAAGGAAACCAAGCCAGGTGGTGCAACAGTGGTACATAAAGAAAAGGCACCTGCTGTTGGAGAAGCAGCTTCTGAATTTCCAGAGAGTGTTCATGGAGTAGAAATTCCATCAAGCAAACACTCAGGTCAACAAAAATTAGACAGATCTGATCAAACCATTCATTCTGGAGATGAAAACAAAGAACAGAAGAGCTTTGGTGAATCAAAAGAAGTTATTGGCAGGCCAAGTAGTTCTATTTCAAAGTCAAAGGATGCTGTGCAGAAACGTAAATCCTCAGGGAAGACTTTAATTACTGAGCATCCTGAATTTCAACCTGCAACAAGTAGCAATGAGGAAATTAGGAAGAAAAGTACCAACAGATCTTCATTTAGTCAACAAATCAAAGAAGATACTCGAGTACTTTTATATGAGCATGACTTTGCAGTTGAAGTAAGGCCTCCGACAATAGAAAAGATCTCTGCTGAAGTGCAATCTCCACCAGCTGAGGAGGCTCCTGCAGCAGAGGCCCCAGTGAAAATTCAGTCTCCACCAGCTGAAAAGGCCCCGGCAGAAAAGGCCCCAGTGAAAGTTAAGTCTCCACCAGCTGAGAAGGTTCCTGCAGAAGAGGCCCCAGTGGAAGTTAAGTCTCCACCAGCTGAGAAGGCCTCAGCGGAAGAGGCCCCAGTGAAAGTTAAGTCTCCTCCAGCTGAGAAGGCCTCAGCGGAAGAGGCCCCAGTGAAAGTTAAGTCTCCTCCAGCTGAGAAGGCCTCAGCGGAAGAGGCCCCAGTGAAAGTTAAGTCTCCTCCAGCTGAGAAGGCCTCAGCGGAAGAGGCCCCAGTGAAAGTTAAGTCTCCTCCAGCTGAGAAGGCCTCAGCGGAAGAGGCCCCAGTGAAAGTTAAGTCTCCTCCAGCTGAGAAGGCCTCAGCGGAAGAGGCCCCAGTGAAAGTTAAGTCTCCTCCAGCTGAGAAGGCCTCAGCGGAAGAGGCCCCAGTGAAAGTTAAGTCTCCTCCAGCTGAGAAGGCCTCAGCGGAAGAGGCCCCAGTGAAAGTTAAGTCTCCTCCAGCTGAGAAGGCCTCAGCGGAAGAGGCCCCAGTGAAAGTTAAGTCTCCTCCAGCTGAGAAGGCCTCAGCGGAAGAGGCCCCAGTGAAAGTTAAGTCTCCTCCAGCTGAGAAGGCCTCAGCGGAAGAGGCCCCAGTGAAAGTTAAGTCTCCTCCAGCTGAGAAGGCCTCAGCGGAAGAGGCCCCAGTGAAAGTTAAGTCTCCTCCAGCTGAGAAGGCCTCAGCGGAAGAGGCCCCAGTGAAAGTTAAGTCTCCTCCAGCTGAGAAGGCCTCAGCGGAAGAGGCCCCAGTGAAAGTTAAGTCTCCTCCAGCTGAGAAGGCCTCAGCGGAAGAGGCCCCAGTGAAAGTTAAGTCTCCTCCAGCTGAGAAGGCCTCAGCGGAAGAGGCCCCAGTGAAAGTTAAGTCTCCTCCAGCTGAGAAGGCCTCAGCGGAAGAGGCCCCAGTGAAAGTTAAGTCTCCTCCAGCTGAGAAGGCCTCAGCGGAAGAGGCCCCAGTGAAAGTTAAGTCTCCTCCAGCTGAGAAGGCCTCAGCGGAAGAGGCCCCAGTGAAAGTTAAGTCTCCTCCAGCTGAGAAGGCCTCAGCGGAAGAGGCCCCAGTGAAAGTTAAGTCTCCTCCAGCTGAGAAGGCCTCAGCGGAAGAGGCCCCAGTGAAAGTTAAGTCTCCTCCAGCTGAGAAGGCCTCAGCGGAAGAGGCCCCAGTGAAAGTTAAGTCTCCTCCAGCTGAGAAGGCCTCAGCGGAAGAGGCCCCAGTGAAAGTTAAGTCTCCTCCAGCTGAGAAGGCCTCAGCGGAAGAGGCCCCAGTGAAAGTTAAGTCTCCTCCAGCTGAGAAGGCCTCAGCGGAAGAGGCCCCAGTGAAAGTTAAGTCTCCTCCAGCTGAGAAGGCCTCAGCGGAAGAGGCCCCAGTGAAAGTTAAGTCTCCTCCAGCTGAGAAGGCCTCAGCGGAAGAGGCCCCAGTGAAAGTTAAGTCTCCTCCAGCTGAGAAGGCCTCAGCGGAAGAGGCCCCAGTGAAAGTTAAGTCTCCTCCAGCTGAGAAGGCCTCAGCGGAAGAGGCCCCAGTGAAAGTTAAGTCTCCTCCAGCTGAGAAGGCCTCAGCGGAAGAGGCCCCAGTGAAAGTTAAGTCTCCTCCAGCTGAGAAGGCCTCAGCGGAAGAGGCCCCAGTGAAAGTTAAGTCTCCTCCAGCTGAGAAGGCCTCAGCGGAAGAGGCCCCAGTGAAAGTTAAGTCTCCTCCAGCTGAGAAGGCCTCAGCGGAAGAGGCCCCAGTGAAAGTTAAGTCTCCTCCAGCTGAGAAGGCCTCAGCGGAAGAGGCCCCAGTGAAAGTTAAGTCTCCTCCAGCTGAGAAGGCCTCAGCGGAAGAGGCCCCAGTGAAAGTTAAGTCTCCTCCAGCTGAGAAGGCCTCAGCGGAAGAGGCCCCAGTGAAAGTTAAGTCTCCTCCAGCTGAGAAGGCCTCAGCGGAAGAGGCCCCAGTGAAAGTTAAGTCTCCTCCAGCTGAGAAGGCCTCAGCGGAAGAGGCCCCAGTGAAAGTTAAGTCTCCTCCAGCTGAGAAGGCCTCAGCGGAAGAGGCCCCAGTGAAAGTTAAGTCTCCTCCAGCTGAGAAGGCCTCAGCGGAAGAGGCCCCAGTGAAAGTTAAGTCTCCTCCAGCTGAGAAGGCCTCAGCGGAAGAGGCCCCAGTGAAAGTTAAGTCTCCTCCAGCTGAGAAGGCCTCAGCGGAAGAGGCCCCAGTGAAAGTTAAGTCTCCTCCAGCTGAGAAGGCCTCAGCGGAAGAGGCCCCAGTGAAAGTTAAGTCTCCTCCAGCTGAGAAGGCCTCAGCGGAAGAGGCCCCAGTGAAAGTTAAGTCTCCTCCAGCTGAGAAGGCCTCAGCGGAAGAGGCCCCAGTGAAAGTTAAGTCTCCTCCAGCTGAGAAGGCCTCAGCGGAAGAGGCCCCAGTGAAAGTTAAGTCTCCTCCAGCTGAGAAGGCCTCAGCGGAAGAGGCCCCAGTGAAAGTTAAGTCTCCTCCAGCTGAGAAGGCCTCAGCGGAAGAGGCCCCAGTGAAAGTTAAGTCTCCTCCAGCTGAGAAGGCCTCAGCGGAAGAGGCCCCAGTGAAAGTTAAGTCTCCTCCAGCTGAGAAGGCCTCAGCGGAAGAGGCCCCAGTGAAAGTTAAGTCTCCTCCAGCTGAGAAGGCCTCAGCGGAAGAGGCCCCAGTGAAAGTTAAGTCTCCTCCAGCTGAGAAGGCCTCAGCGGAAGAGGCCCCAGTGAAAGTTAAGTCTCCTCCAGCTGAGAAGGCCTCAGCGGAAGAGGCCCCAGTGAAAGTTAAGTCTCCTCCAGCTGAGAAGGCCTCAGCGGAAGAGGCCCCAGTGAAAGTTAAGTCTCCTCCAGCTGAGAAGGCCTCAGCGGAAGAGGCCCCAGTGAAAGTTAAGTCTCCTCCAGCTGAGAAGGCCTCAGCGGAAGAGGCCCCAGTGAAAGTTAAGTCTCCTCCAGCTGAGAAGGCCTCAGCGGAAGAGGCCCCAGTGAAAGTTAAGTCTCCTCCAGCTGAGAAGGCCTCAGCGGAAGAGGCCCCAGTGAAAGTTAAGTCTCCTCCAGCTGAGAAGGCCTCAGCGGAAGAGGCCCCAGTGAAAGTTAAGTCTCCTCCAGCTGAGAAGGCCTCAGCGGAAGAGGCCCCAGTGAAAGTTAAGTCTCCTCCAGCTGAGAAGGCCTCAGCGGAAGAGGCCCCAGTGAAAGTTAAGTCTCCTCCAGCTGAGAAGGCCTCAGCGGAAGAGGCCCCAGTGAAAGTTAAGTCTCCTCCAGCTGAGAAGGCCTCAGCGGAAGAGGCCCCAGTGAAAGTTAAGTCTCCTCCAGCTGAGAAGGCCTCAGCGGAAGAGGCCCCAGTGAAAGTTAAGTCTCCTCCAGCTGAGAAGGCCTCAGCGGAAGAGGCCCCAGTGAAAGTTAAGTCTCCTCCAGCTGAGAAGGCCTCAGCGGAAGAGGCCCCAGTGAAAGTTAAGTCTCCTCCAGCTGAGAAGGCCTCAGCGGAAGAGGCCCCAGTGAAAGTTAAGTCTCCTCCAGCTGAGAAGGCCTCAGCGGAAGAGGCCCCAGTGAAAGTTAAGTCTCCTCCAGCTGAGAAGGCCTCAGCGGAAGAGGCCCCAGTGAAAGTTAAGTCTCCTCCAGCTGAGAAGGCCTCAGCGGAAGAGGCCCCAGTGAAAGTTAAGTCTCCTCCAGCTGAGAAGGCCTCAGCGGAAGAGGCCCCAGTGAAAGTTAAGTCTCCTCCAGCTGAGAAGGCCTCAGCGGAAGAGGCCCCAGTGAAAGTTAAGTCTCCTCCAGCTGAGAAGGCCTCAGCGGAAGAGGCCCCAGTGAAAGTTAAGTCTCCTCCAGCTGAGAAGGCCTCAGCGGAAGAGGCCCCAGTGAAAGTTAAGTCTCCACCAGCTGAGGCGGCCTCTGAAAAAGAGGCCCCAGTGAAAGTTAAGTCTCCACCAGCTGAGAAGGCCTATGGGGAAGAGGCCCCAGTGAAAGTTAAGTCTCCACCAGCTGAGAAGGCCTATGGGGAAGAGGCCCCAGTGAAAGTTAAGTCTCCACCAGCTGAGAAGGCCTATGGGGAAGAGGCCCCAGTGAAAGTTAAGTCTCCACCAGCTGAGAAGGCCTATGGGGAAGAGGCCCCAGTGAAAGTTAAGTCTCCACCAGCTGAGAAGGCCTATGGGGAAGAGGCCCCAGTGAAAGTTAAGTCTCCACCAGCTGAGAAGGCCTATGGGGAAGAGGCCCCAGTGAAAGTTAAGTCTCCACCAGCTGAGAAGGCCTATGGGGAAGAGGCCCCAGTGAAAGTTAAGTCTCCACCAGCTGAGAAGGCCTATGGGGAAGAGGCCCCAGTGAAAGTTAAGTCTCCACCAGCTGAGAAGGCCTATGGGGAAGAGGCCCCAGTGAAAGTTAAGTCTCCACCAGCTGAGAAGGCCTATGGGGAAGAGGCCCCAGTGAAAGTTAAGTCTCCACCAGCTGAGAAGGCCTATGGGGAAGAGGCCCCAGTGAAAGTTAAGTCTCCACCAGCTGAGAAGGCCTATGGGGAAGAGGCCCCAGTGAAAGTTAAGTCTCCACCAGCTGAGAAGGCCTATGGGGAAGAGGCCCCAGTGAAAGTTAAGTCTCCACCAGCTGAGAAGGCCTATGGGGAAGAGGCCCCAGTGAAAGTTAAGTCTCCACCAGCTGAGAAGGCCTATGGGGAAGAGGCCCCAGTGAAAGTTAAGTCTCCACCAGCTGAGAAGGCCTATGGGGAAGAGGCCCCAGTGAAAGTTAAGTCTCCACCAGCTGAGAAGGCCTATGGGGAAGAGGCCCCAGTGAAAGTTAAGTCTCCACCAGCTGAGAAGGCCTATGGGGAAGAGGCCCCAGTGAAAGTTAAGTCTCCACCAGCTGAGAAGGTCCCTGCAGAAGAGGCCCCAGTGAAAGTTAAGTCTCCACCAGCTGAGAAGGTCCCTGCGGAAGAGGCCCCAGAGAAAGTTCAGTCTCCACCAGCTGAGTCGGCCTCTGCGGAAGAGGCCCCAGAGAAAGTTCAGTCTCCACCAGCTGAGAAGGTCCCTGCAGAAGAGCCCCCAGAGAAAGTTCAGTCTCCACCAGCTGAGAATGTCCCTGCAGAAGAGGCTACAGCTGAAGTTCAAGCTCCACCAGTTGAGGAGGCCCCTGCAGAAGAGGCCCCAGAGAAAGTTCATTGTCCACCAGCTGAGACGGTCCCTGCAGAAGAAGGCCTAGTGAAAGTTAAGTCTCTACCAGCTGAGCAGGCCCCAACTGAAAATATCGCTGCTGAACTTCATCTTCCACCAACTGAAGAAACGACTTCAGAAATGGTCTCTGTTGCCAAAAAACTTGCATCATTTGAAGAGGCCAATATTTCAAATATCTCTCCAACATACTCCATTGAGGAAGTTCAGACTCCACCATCTAAAACACCTCCTGCAGATGAGACTCTGGTAGAGAATGTATCTACTGAATTTCAATCTTCCATAACAATAGATGTTCCGGAATTAGTAACTTTAAAAGAGAATCCAAAATTTGAAGGGCCTTTTCCATTGCCTACTGTTCCTGAATAGGTTTCTACTATTGAAATATAGAGTGTCAACCATATAGAACTAAAGGAGCGGCCTCTTCCACAGCTATAGTGAAGTCTTAACTAAGCTAGCTATCAGAGGCTAGGGGATTCTGGAACTACATACTTTAAAACATGGTAGTCATTTGGAAGGCGGTTTTTTGAACAGGGAAATGAAAGGAAACCCCAAGATGTGGCCTGCAGGTTGGAAAATGAATAATAAAAATGACTTGTTTAAAATTACTTGTTATTTTCATTCAATCCGGAGTGTATAAAATATACTTATTTTGATGTAAAATAAGTGTATGATTGAAATAATTACTCAAAATATCCTATTTAAACTAAACCCTGTTGACAAGGGTAAAGTATACAGACATATATTTTCTCTATATGTAGCTTGTAGTGGAAAAGGCATTTTCTTTTCTTCAGTTCTCTTATCTACTTTAAATTCCTTGAGTTTGAGTCACATATTGACAGTTATGTGGTATTTTCCTTAGTATAATTCCTTATATCCTTTATTCTCTTTCCAATTGATACCTTCTGAGACAAACATTTCTATCCTGTTTCCACTCCTATCTTCTTGTATATTTTACATTTCAATGTCTAGATACGGAAATTTATTTATTTGGAAAAAATTTTCATTTCAATCAAGATAACCATAGATGAAGTATTTAAAAAGCAGTATAAGCATTAAGAAAAATATACTTAGATTGCCTTAAGGCCATATTCTTATTTAGTTTTAAATTCATTTCAGGTTACAGTGTGATGAGACCTTTAGAAGCTTGGCTTGTATTTTTTTGCACTCTGATCTTGTGGCAAAGAGAAACTTAGAATAAAATTGAATTACTATAGTATAAGTTATTAACATTTTAAAAGAGTAATTATGAATTATTTTGTCTATTATTAAATGACATCTTCATTTCTATGATTATGACAACTTTTCAGAGAAGATTTTGTCTAGCTACAATGTTCTGGTTACACTGTTCTGAAATGATTCTTATAAATATTTCAATTTGGTAAGTGTATTTCTTTGTTTAGTGACAACTCTAGATTGATAATTTGATGATTATAAACCTTGTTAAGCTTTGATGCCTTATAATTATTAAATTTTTCTCACATTCTTCATTACCTCTATAGCCAAGAACATGTGATATTTTAAAGTAAAATTTTCAGAATTTATAAAAAATTTGGAAGCACAGTTGTCCCTTGGTATACATGGGGGATTGGTTCAAGTACCCTCTACAAGTAACAAAATCTGAGAATTGATAAGTCCCTTATGCAAAATGATATAGTAAAAAGTATACAGCTGATTGAAAATACTGTTTTTGATCATGGTTGGTTAAATTTGTAGATTCAAAACCAACAGATACAGAGGATTGAATATATGTTGTACTTTTTAAAAAATTGTGACCAGATTTGAGACTGAGAAATATTATTCTAGACTTGAATGAGGGTTGCTTTTCTGATATTTCAAGTCCTTTTTATTTTATTTTTTTGAGATATTTTAAATCCAGTTAAATTTATTTTTCTATATTTGAAAATGATTTTAAAAGTAATTTTAGATATTGTATTATGGCTTTCTGTTCTGTTTAAAAAATTGTTTTGGATTTGATTTTTTTTTTTACCTTCCAGCATTATTAAGATATAATTAACTTATTGTGTAAATTTAAGATGTACAATGTGATGATTTGCTATATGTAACATTGCAAAATACTTGCTTCATTGAGGTTAATACATCCACCACCTCACATAATTAAATTTTTTGAAATGGTGACATAATTTAAGATCTAATTTAAGTATATAATACAGTATCTACACTAATAAAAGAGAAACATGGTAATTAGCGTACGACCGCTACCCTTCCCATTGGCTAATCAGTGAGTATATGCAAATTAACTGTCAGCCAAGATGGCGGCTGGCAGCCAGGCACTGAAGCGAGCATGAGGCTTGCTTGCTGCGGACTCCAACGTTCCCCGCCTCACTTGCCGGCCTCTCAGCTGCAACTCTAAGCAACTATGTACTATGTTGCAAATAAGAAGCTAAACAAAACCCCAGAAACC